GCTCGGTCACACACTAATGTCATTAGTTTGTTATCATTACTAAGCTGCAGGACTGCTTTTCCCCCTTTTTTTCACATCATTTCGCCTGATGGATCTGTTATTATCTCGCTCTGAAGCGCAGAGGAGTGTCAGAGGTGAGCTCGTTTTAAGTGATTTTCACGACGCGGTCTCATTTCCGGACTCAATAATTTTGTGAATGAAGCCGATATTTCAGTTAAAATACATAAGTAAAAATATTTATCGGAATATAGTACTACCCCCCAACTTTATGGCTTTAATTTTACGTATTATACTTGAATAAATACGGAATGTTTAACTCCATTGAATGTGTTCAGATCACCCAGGATGGATGTTAGTGTTGATTCTGAACATGTTCATCAGATAAAGAGAAAATTYCCACACGTTTTACTGAACTAATGAAGCTACACTTTGGATTATTTTACAAAAAAAAAAATCCAGAGACCTGCTCGATTTCGTATTTCATTTCGCAGACCGATGTGTCTCGGTCACAGCCTGGTACAGGTACGATGGGTCGACATATGTTGATGTAGTACTTCTTCAGGCTCGCCGAATCTGACAGATCCATGGCCATCCAGTTTCTGGTGGAGGTGGAGCGCGACAGGCTGGAGGAGGAACAGGAAACACATCTGGGTTAATAAAAATCTGACCGTTTTATTTTCATTCCTTGTTAGAGGAAAATCTCTGCGTTTGTTGTTTCTCACCTGGATAAGTCGTACTGATCCAGGGTGTTGGGGTCCGTCACCAAACACTCGTGAGCCCTCTGAGGACACGCGTAGGACGTGTACCAGAGGAAGTTGTACGTGTACTTGTCTTCTACCTGTTTTTATCAAGAGCACATTAACGACAAGCCGAGATCATTTCAACAAGAACAGGAAGGAGGAAGGGAGGAGTTTCACCTGGAACTTAGGGTTTCCTGCTCCTGCTTCCGGGTCACAGAGGAAGGAGATGAGAGTGGATCTGAGGGTGTGCTGTGCGTCGTTGTACTGAGATCCATTTCTGTACGTGAGCTGGATCAGGCCGTCGTAGTAGCTCAGACGAGAATTCGCCTCCCCGAGACTCCAGGAACTGCAGACAAACAACAGAAGTTGGTCGTACATGTTTATAACACGTCACCGAGTACAGAAAGGGTGGCACGTCTCACTTTTGTTTCACTTGGCACGCTCCAGCCTTCTCAGGACACGTGTCGGTTTTGACCGGACCACAGACGTTAATGTAGTAGCTGTAGCCGCCATTGGTCAGGTTGTAGAAGCCGCCGTCCGGTTTGGTGAGAGGAGACAAGTCGAAGGAGAAGCCTGCGCAGAAACACGAGTGAGAAAGGAAGATCTCAGAATATTTCACATCTTATGACATAACCAGAGTTGTAAAGTAACTAAGTACAAATACTTTGTATTATTTTTCAGCGTATTTTTTACTTTTACTCATTACATTTTTACACAATAATCTGTACTTTCTACTCACTACATTTTTTTAAAAGGTAAGAAGTAGAAAGTTGTTACTCCTGTTTTATTCCAAGTTGTTATTAGTTTAAAAAATACTATCCTGATAAATTGTGTCTCCTGGATAG